CTCAGAAAGGCAATTCACATTTATAACAGTACAGCTGTTATAAGCTGGGGGTCTAGAGTTTGAATTCTTGCCAGTGAGCCTGTTTAATGTTTAGCTTTTAAAGTTATCATTTAGAGATTTCCCTCTACTGACCCTCAAACCCACATATGTACTAACTAAACTATTGTGTCCCATCATCATCATCATCATCTTAAAAAAAACGTTAGCCACTTATCTGCTCCAGACATGAGTATACTCTGATGAAACTTGTCACAACAGGAAGTGGTCTTGTCTCATCACAATTCTGACACAAGCCACAATTAAATGTTTATATTGTGTTTGACGTTTTAAGTTGCTGCGGTGCCAGTCAGCTCAGGCCTGATCATTTGAATAGTCTAACCCTACAAATGGATCAAAATAGCAGGTATAAATCTGATGGCCCCTTTGAACATCTAATTTAAACCTGCCTAAATCCACGGGGGTGGGTGCTATAACGGTTTGCCGCATAATTGACTTTGCAACACTGTTGTTACTGTGATAAAAGAACGTTTTGCTTCTAGCACACACACAAGGGCGAACTACTTTCCACAATTCCCCGTGAACTGCGTTAACATAATAGATGGGCTATACTGTCGGTGTTTGCCAAGAAGCGCAAGCATCTCAGGTAAAATAAGTCAACACTAGGGTTGTGAACCGAAACTCGGTTCCAGATGAGAACCGATAAGAAAATGCTGGGTACCGGGTACCCATACAAAATACACAATTTTGGTTCTGCTTAACGGTTCCTAAACGCGGTAGACCCTGTATTCCACCGGGTCCGTCTGCGCCGGGGCGCCGCGAATTGGGCGGACCGGCCATCTGTGTGTTCTGGTGAATCACAGAACGGCCTGTGCGCTTCATGTATTTGTTTTATTTGTAAAAATGTCAGTTAATAAAGCTTAAAAGAATAAAGATATTTTTGTTTTATAAACGTTTGACCTCTTTCTTTTACAATTTTGGAATCGAAACGGGGAATCGATAAGAATCGGAATCGATACATTTCAGACGATTTGTTCCCTAGTCAACACGCCACGTTTTTTTTAGATGAAGATTAAGGATAAAAATCGTAATGATAAACTATACAGAGTCTATGATCCAGATAGACTGTGTATAGTTTATCGTTATGATTTTGATCAGCTTTCAGTTGTCCCTATAGATTTACATTTGGTGTAATGTTATTCCCATTTTGGCTTGTTGTGGCATGTCAGATCACAATTGATGGGGCACCTCTATTTAACTAACTATTATTCATATTATTCATTTATGCAAAAGTTCATTGTGCAGCCACAGAAGAAAGACTTGTGTAAATGTGAAAATGGTGGATCTTACCTCATCTCCCGCTCCTCGTGCTGGGCGATGAGGTTACTGTAGAAGTTCTCCAGGGTCACTTTGGCCATAGTGACGCGCTCCTTTGTGTGGTTACTCATGGAGGAGCACGAGCTGGGGCTAGTCATTGCCATGCTTTACCTGGAGAAACACACAGACGATAGGTGAGTGGATAGCATGCGTGCGGTAAATCACAACCCTGGTCAGACACGCTGTGGAAGCACACATCCAATCAGGAGGTTGCCACACAGCCAGGAAAAAAACACTGCACCACTGAGAGTGAGAAGGAGGGCCTTAAAGAGCAGCAGGATAGGCTGTCATGCTCAGATGCTAAAACCCTTAGCTGGACGCTCAAAGATTTGAACTATGAAATGACATGACAGTTGGCCCCGAAAAAGAGGAAGGAAAGCAGCTGCCTCTGCTGTCTGAGAAAAGCAATGTTGATAACATTGTGCCGTTATGAAGAAATAATGAGGAAATCTGACTTGTGCAAGCACTGAAGGTGGAGTCCCTCGGTGAGATAGCTAGGGTTTGCGGCACAATATGTGTCTAATACTAATGCAGATTAATGGCAGTTAAACAAGCATAATCATGAAAAATAATAAGTATCAAGTCACTCGTTTGACAAATGTGTATTTTGCAATAGTGAAATTAATAGAAATGCTAAAAATAACTGCACAATGGGAGCATTTAGACCTGCAGCCTGTGCAGTTTTCCACATTTGGAGAGTCCCTTGTGAATATGGAGCCAACACATTTGTAACTCAGTAACAGATTGTTGGCTGGCCGAAACATGTAACTACTGGAATACTTTTTGAATTGTATTCCTGCTTCAGGCGCCCGGGCAGGGTTGGAAGTCTTCCCAAAATGTAAAAAGGTACACCCTTGTAAGGTTGCTGGCGTAACTTTATGTAAAAGCGTCAGACCTCCCTGCCTCGCTTCAGTGAGCAGAGGCATCTTTGAGGAGGGGAACTCAAAAGGTTGGTACACCCTCATTAGAATGGAACAGATTTCATAGTGGTATCTCGCCAAACAGAGAACTTGAAATGCTTGTTCAGATATGATGAGCTGAAAGGCATTACGTTGTTAATAAAAATGTAACTCAATGGAAAGCGTGTTGAAAAACCTGTGTTTTTACTCTCCCTAAATAACCCTTCAGCAAATATTTGTATGAGTTGATCAATAGTCAAATGTATTTGCAGTGGTGTATTGTAGTAAAGGACATTTACTCAAGTATTGTCCTGAAGGACGATTTTGGGGTACTGTTACTTTACTTGTGTATTTTTATTTTATGCTTCTTTATACGTCTACTCCACTACAATTTGGAAGCCAATATTGTACGCTTTACTACACCACAATTATTTGACAGAATTAGTTTACTAGTTTACAGAGTCACGTTATTGGCTAAAACAAAATGTAAATAAACGAATAAACATACATATGATATATTTGATTTACAATTTTAAATAACTATATTATAGGTTAAAGATATTCAGCAGCAGTCTATAAAGTAAATACAAGTGGCTTCACCTTTTACCGGCTGTGATGATCACATTAATATAATATCAATAATCATAATCCATTCATTTAACATATATGATCCTAAAATTGGATATTAGCAAGATAAGCACTTTTACTTTTGGTACTTTAAGTATATTTTGATGCTAATACGTTTGTACTTTTATTTAAGTAACCTTTATAATGCAGGACTTTAACTTGTAACAGACTATTTGTACACTGTAATATTTCTACTTTCACTTAAGTTAAATATCTGAGCACTCCTTATACCACTGTGTATTTGGGTTTGGGACAAAACGGTTTAAAAAAAGCTCACCTGCATTCGGACAATGACAGTAAGTTAAGCTGGTAGAGTTGCCATTTTAATCAGACAGTGAAACGCTATTGGAATCGTTATTTATCTAACATTTACTAAATAATAATGGCGATATTACAAAATGTAACGTCAAGTGTAATATCGCCTGAAGTTACATTTGTAATTTACACAGAATGTAAACGTTTGGTGTGTTTCTCTTGTCAAAAACAGACTGCCCTGGCTAGTGTCAACAACACGGAGCTAGCTCCCAAAGTAGTTAGTTTCGGTTGCAACGTAGCCATAAACTTACTTTACCTTAAGATATAAGATAATATAGAGAAACACTAACTTACCTTAACGTAACTTTGATTCAAATATAGTTTAGAATATTAGTTTCGATTTTTCTTTAACCCTTAGCCTCATAAACAAATGCTTTACCCTGCTATATTAGTTAGCTTGCTAGTTAGCCATTAAAGTTCCTGGCTGCGTCAAGTTACGCAGAGAGAGTATCAACTACACCGGATATGCGTTTCAAAATAAAACTGTCATTTATAAGAATGACTGTTTCGTTGCATTTTCGTTATTTTGAGTTTTATTTTGAAACCGTAAACTAGATAATCTATATTTCCTTTTGCATGTACTTTACAACTTGAAGTTGCCCAAAGCGAATAGCTAAGGGAAAGTTAGCAAGTAAACGTTAGCCACTTCTCTGCTAAAATAGCTTGAGTCCTTTGTTTTTAAACTGAACGCCATATAAAAGAGCAAGTTAGCAGATCATTTAGTAAGATAATAAACTAAAGAAAACGTTCAACATATTGTCTTCTAGTGCTTTAATCCTGTATGTTTGTATAGTTGGTCTTTGTTCACTTACCTTGGTCGAAGGTGCGGTATCTGCCGTCTCTTCCTCTGCTCTGCCGAGGGTTGCGTCACCATCAGTTTGAACTCAGTGTGACACCTAGTGGACAATTCTCCTCCTCCTCCTCCTCCTCCGAGGTTCAGCCATGGATGTATAATAAGAACAGCAGCTTGCATTAGTGTTACGCTACTGCCATCTTCAGGAGTTGGTTGACTCCTCAGTGTGCGGTATGTCCGTTTCCTCATCAGTCCTGTTCTCCTTTTAAACCTAACCTTTTTATTTCTTCCATCATATCATTTCCCTATGATACGTATTTCCTGCGACACATGCCCTAAGATTTGTGGTAACTAACATTTTTCACTCAAAACGGCAGAATTCTTCCCTATAATCAGAGGTCCAAGAACTTGCAAGAAGTACACAGATTATTTACTTGAGGAAAAGTAGCAATACTACAGTGTAAAAATACTCTTGATACCAGTAAATATCCTGCATTCAAATTTGTACTTAAAAAGTGTCACCATATACTTCAAGTACCAAAGGTAAAAATACTCAGTAAGATATGATGAGGAACATATAAACACTAGATATTTATTTAAGTTATTTAACAATAATAGTGTATGTAAACGTAAGTCTCGATGTATATGTTAACCTAAATCAGCAAAGAAACTAGTAACTTAATATTTAAAATAAATGTATTGGAGTCAAGAGTACAACATTTGCCAACAAAATGTAGTGGAGTAAAGGAATACAGTAGTAGCATTTAAAAATACTTTATTACTTTAGTTAATGTAGGTTACAATACAACACTGCCTATGTGAATGTGAAGATTACTCCCAGTCATGATAACCTCCACTTATTTATTCCCTCCTTCATTTCTCCCAAAACCAACTGTGCAGCAAATATGACAAGTGTTTGTTTTTTAAGAAAATGTTGAAGCATCATAGGTAATAACTGTTCTAATTCATCACAAAATATATTCCATGTTTTATGATATATTTGTTTTTAATAGTTTACTGTACAAAATCTATAGGACAAAAATACAGTGTACATAACCCTATAGCACCAACGCAGGATGCTACATGGGCCAAACTGCAGGCTATGGCAACAGGCGTAGCAGTTGTATGATGATAATAATGATAATAATAATAACATAAAAGTATTAATGATAAATGACACACATTTATAAAGCAACTTTTAAAGACAAAGCTTACAAAGAGCTTCTGTTTTGTCTTGTTTCTCTTGTAAAATGTTTCTGAAATATTCTTCAATCAGTAACTTATTAATTTATTGAGGGAGGCCCCGGTTATTATTAAGAATGAGAAACTAAGCCTGCATAGAGACACCTTAATAACTACATTTTGTCCTTGATTGTTTGTATTGTATTTTGTCATACATACCCAATTAAAATTAATAGATTATAGACACTGTTTATATATGTTTAGTAAGAGAACTGGAATGGACTGCTCTGATCAATTTCTGCATTTTTGCTCATAGAAAGTAAGGATGTCAGTCAGAAAGAAAGAAGTGTTCAACAAACACAACCTTCTTCTAGTCATTGAGGCCAAAAATTGAGACTGTAGATGCGTGGACTTAAAAAACTAGTCTTTATTTGGAATGATTTCCTGCTGATCAGCGTCGGACTGCGGCCACAGGCTGAGAACACGAGGAACTGCAGTCTCTCATTCTGCCAGTGTTTCACAGATAGCAGCAACATAGCCATACAGTAATTCACACATTGTTTAAAACCACACTGACACAGGACATAAAACACACAGTGCAACTTTCACATCTGACATTTCCTATCAACTCCCCTATGTACACCCGGCCCCCCCCGCCCAGAGCTAGTGTTTCTTTGCCTTCTCCTTTTTCTTCTTCTCCTGGTATTCGAGGATCTTTTTGTTAAATATTCCTAAAGGACAAATGACAGGAGCTGGAGTTAGTGCACTGTAAATACATTTCAGTACGACTCAGTAACATGATGGTCAATTATGTGCATGTTATGAGTAGAAGAGAGTGTACCGGAAATGTAATTCACTATATACAATTAACGATAAAGTGGAGTGGATTTGATGAAGCTGATAGTGTGTGATGCACCTTATTGTTGCTAATCCTGTAGTGTTTTTGAGATTACAGAGGAGAACAACTGTGAAATGTATTCTTGTGTGTGGTGCAACCTCATTGCAAAACCATGTAGGATTTCCAAACTCCTGAAGACTTAGCCCGGCTTCATAAAAAAAAATGGAGGCAGCCCTTATTTCGTCATATGGCCCCACCCAAGTTGTGTGTCAATCAAAATGGTGACTTTGGAAGGTCCCCTCACAGAGAGACAGCAAAATGTCTTCTTTACAAGCTGTTTTGCCGTTTGTTTTCCAGATGTGAGCAGAACTCTCTTTGTGCAAGGCATTGTGGGACAATAGTCTACACCACTAGCACACTCAAATGTGGAAGGCCTGGGGAGTTATAGATTACATGTAACGGTATTACATAATCAGGTAAAAAAAAGTGAACTGCATTCCCTAAAGATGTAATCAGATTACTGTTGCATTTCAAAGAATTGAGGATTACTAGCAGGATTACAATGTTAGTAAAACCTAAAAAGATCATAATAGTGTTTGTTGTAAAGGATCAGATGTTGTCTCTTCTCTGTAAACGGTACTGTTCTGTAGGATAATACTTTCAGTGTGAATCTATACGCCTACTGCCTGAATCTGCTTTATGGTTTCACTTTCTGAATATGCTTCATGAAAGTCAGCTTTTCCTATCAATAAAAAGATTTTTGATTCTAAATATCTTGAGGTCTTCTTTTCTAAGGTCAAATTGTTCTGTCTTACATAATACTACACTTCAGTATAAAAACATCTTATTGGTATATACTTTTTCTTGTATTTATTTGCATTGCATCTGATATTGATGATATCCAAAAATAAAGTAATCAGGTTACAATACCCCTGTTTTGATTAGGTTACTGATTATATTATTGTTCAACACTTTTGTACTGGTCTGATACATAACTATTGGACTGATTCTGGATGAAACTGGGCTGCAAGAGATGCAGTGAGGCTTACGCCTGCACCCAGCAGAAATGTGTGTGTGTGTGTGTGTGTGTGTGTGTGTGTGTGTGTGTGTGTGTGTGTGTGTGTGTGTGTGTGTGTGTGTGTGTGTGTGTGTGTGTGTGTGTGTGTGTGTGTGTGTGTGTGTGTGTGTGTGTGTGTGTGTGTGTGTGTGTGTGTGTGTGTGTGTGTGTGTGTGTGTGTGTGTGTGTGTGTGTGTGTGTGTGTGTGTGTGTGTGACCTTGCTGCGGTCCAGGCTGCTGCTGCTCCACCTCCTGGATGAACAGGTCGAACATCTGCGTCTGGAGGAACAACTTGACGAAGTGTCGTGTAGTTTTGGAATCGATGGCCTTGTAGAAGCTTCTCTTTTCAAACACCCCTGGCCCCCCGCCGCGACTGTGTTTCACGTAGGATCTGAAGTGGCCCACTGTTTTCACAAAGAAGAGCAGGAAGGCTTCCGACACCACCCGGTTCAACTCCTCCACCGCTGAAGCAAAGCACAGAAAACATTCGGGGATGATGGAGCCATCACTCTGTTACTAACTGATACACCTGTGTTTGATTTCTGTCACTCACTTGATGCTTTTTGTCTGGCACTAAGAGCCTCTAGGATTTCACTTTTGAGCTTCGGGGGCAGAATAGAGCTTTCATCACCAACCTGGAAAAGGAAGGTAATACACAAATGTTTTAACTTTTACTAAATGGTTGTTTCTTGTGAATTTGCAAAGAAATGGCCACTAAAAGCTGATTTTGTAGACACTTACTGAAGCAATGAAGGTTTCCCTTTTATTGTCAGACAAGTCGACCACCAGCAGCTGTCACAGAAAGAATAAGAATGAATCTTTTTGCAATTGAAGTAACACTTTGATTATTAAAAACGTTTCTTCTCCATGTGGACTCACATCACTCTGGTCGGTGACCAGGTCCAGCAGATGCTTCTGGACTCCCAGCAGGTAGGGGGTGGGGGCCATCACCACGTCGATCAGGATCTCAGGAACAATGGAGATCATGGTGTGCTGCCAGGTGAAGGGGTACAGGAGGGCTGCCACAGCATGTATGATTTGTGACAATGTGCTGCAGAGAGATCAGATCATAAATTCAGTCAATAACATGAGGGGTGCTTTTAACGCCATATCAGAAAATCACCTTTCAAGCCTCTCAACTCTTTGTGGAGCATTTTGTACCTATTGACATGCACTAATGGAGAGGTGTCAGAGGGAAGGGGCTGCCAGGCTGGCGCTCAGGGGCAGTTGGGGGTTCAGTGCCTTGCTCAAGGGCACCTGGTTAGTACCAGTCCACATTCTGTGTTTTGGTCCAATGGCAAATTGAACCGGTGACCCCTCGGTTCCCAAGACAAGTCCCTAAAGACTGAGCTACTGCCGCCCCGATACAGACACGTTTCTGTTATATGCTAATGAATATTGACAGGGGTTGGTTTACTTGATGACATAACTGATATTTAATACGATATGAAATATCTAATTTAAAACATGATGAATTGTGTATTTTTTACTCCGTTTTATAATCAATGAACTACCTTTTTATGCTTTGTGTTAAGTAAATGGATTTATTGTTATATTTTGTTATGAGAGGTCAATATGGAGAGGCCAGAGCTATACTCCTTTTCCTCATGTATCCTTATAAGGGCATGAACACAGAGCTCAGGTGAGCTCCCGGTTGAGCGGTTACACACAGTTTTTCGAACCACACTTTTTCTTAGTATATCAGTCATTTTGTTGAAGCATTTCATTTTATTTTGTAGTTATAGCCAGCTATTGGGGCTGTTGTATATGAGATAGTTTGCATTCAAATCAAACGTTGCTTATTTAACAAACCGGATTCTCTTCTCTTTTGTTTGGACTGCAATATAGCATCATAACTGGAGACTCAAGGCAGGTTTCGTGTTTGGAGTTTGGATTGCCTCTATAGTACATTTGTTTTTATTTTGCCAATTTTTTAAGTGACTGTCATCATAATCTTTGTAAACAGATATCTGTATGCAACATTCTGGTGTCCGTGTGTAGTCTGAGTAATTACTGACCAATCATGTTCCAGGGTTTTGGTTGAATGCAGGTAAAGAGTCTTTGTGGAGAGCAAATGCATTCTGGGAACACATTGGCTATTGCTTGACAATGCTTTGTTCCCCCTTTTTTAAAAGATATTTTCAGGCAGTATCAGTTCCTTAATTTAAGAGACAGCGTTTAAAGATAGAAACAGGTTGTCAGTCCTAGGCCAGATTCAAACCCCAGACATCTGAATGGGGACTGAGCCCCAGTATGAGGGCTTTGTTTGTTTTTCATGATTTAGAAATAAGCTGGTAAACGGACTACAATCTGGTTGTACAATTCGTCTCTCAGCTTGTACTCCAGTCCTGCGTCTAAAGTGTCTCGAGAGCTGGACTTTCGGTACATACACTATGATTGATGAATTGATAATGTCCTCGTGGAATCTACATCTATGAGTGTGTAGTACCCCAGTTCCTCAGCGATGAAAACGATCCGTCTCTCCAGGACGGCGGCAGCGAACACCAGCAGCACCTCCTCGTCTGTCAGGCAGTCGAAGAGCGTGGCGAAGTTGACGTGCTCCAGCCAGGAGTCCAGCGGGCGCGTCAGACTGATGATCTGGGGGAGAGTCACATCTGTCACACACATGCAAACATCACCCACCACCTCCAACTCTGAGGGTGCTCATTTAGCCCTGAAATAAGGGTTAAAATGCAGCTATCGCTTTTCATAATTATCATAATATGAATGCCTTCATGAAGACAGCCAGAGTGTGTCCTTCCTCCGGCCTGAGGGACGTCCAACGAAAACACAGCAGCATCAGTGACAGCTCGAGATGATGGAATGCGGCCCGATGGGGGAGGTGTTAGGTTTCAGCTTTGAGCTAAAGGTTAGGTAATGCAGGACAGGTTCAGACACCACCACAGAAACACATCCACATGGAGGATCTCACTACTACATTCTCACTTTACGTGTCACTTGTTAGAGGCTTTTATCCAAAGCGACTTACATACTCAATACTGTGGGCAATCCCCACAGGAGCAATTTGGGGTGAAGTGTCTCAGGGACACAACGACATGCTGACTGCAGTGGGGTTTGAACCTGTGACCCCCTGATCCAAACACCAACGCACAACCCACTGCACCACACGCCTCCCTACGCCACTTTACTTATTTAAAGAGCGTGTTCACATTTTAACTACATTTTTCAGAGAAATTGAGTCTGTTTACATGAACATTCATATACTGTTTAAGATCTATTTTTTAAAGAAAAACATGATCATAACAAAGATACTATGATACTATGTATTATGTATTTCAACATTTAAAGACCAATTTCAGAAACTCAGATAAACTCTTAAACCCCGTTCATGAGAGCCTGCATATGCTAGGTGGAGTACTGCCAAAGAAACCTGACACTGGTGCATGAGCACACCTCACCTCGGTTACTGAGCACCGCCGAACACCTGAGCGTGTGGATTAAGCAGGTGACGTCACAGAGTGTGAGGTCGAGTGGAGAGAAAAATAACAGGTCGCTGTTTTTTTATCACAGATGTATGCATGCAGTAAGCAGGACACTAGTATTGATCCTGTGCTGCAGGAATGACTAATAAAACCCAGTAATGAGTCAGCATTTTACCACTTCCTGTTCCCTCGTCTCAAAGTCACTGTTTTCTTTTACGTGTTTTTGGATGGATGTCTGAAATAAGGTCTGTAGTAACACAAGCTGAAGAGATTTTGTTCTACCACATCAAATATGTCAGGAAATACCCCACACGTGAATGTCTGAAGCTTTTATCTTTATCTTTCATTAACGGAGTGGCGCAGTGGGCTGTGCGTTGATCATCAGATCAAGGGTGGCGTTGGGGAACTTGGGCAAGACACTTCACCCGAATTTGCTCCTGTGGGTACTGTCCACAGTACATGACCGTTACATGAATGATATGTGTGTAATGTGTACTTGTAAAGCGCCTTGATGACTTTGAGGTGTGAAGATGGGCTGAATGGCGCAGTGGGCTGTGCGTTGATAATCAGATCAAGGGGGCCGTTGGGGAACACCAGTTTGAAATCTTATTTTCTGGCCGTATCACGTTAGATTCTGTTTTGAATGTATAGGTTTTATGGAAATGTACTTCTTTTATAATACCTGTATTCCCTTAGTAATAGAATAGGTAATAGCCTTGGAATAATTACTTAATCACCATTACCAATTGTAATATAAAATACAGGTCAAAAAGGCACATTTTATACGTTAATATGTACATCATTTTTTTTTCACCTTTCACTCAGTTGCAAAAAAAGGGTAAAAAGGGGAGGGGGGGGTGTTTGTCTGACCTCAGTGCCCGACTCTGGAATGAAGCTCTTAATCTCAACAGTGTGTCCTGGGGCTGGGAAGGGAGCTTCCCTCAGCTTCTGCATGAACGGGTAGATCATGGCTGTGGAGATCTGCCGCCGCTTCTCCACCTCCTCCAATATCTACACACACACACACACACACACACACACACACACACACACACACACACACACACACACACACACACACACACACACACACACACACACACACACACACACACACACACACACACACACACACACACACACACACACACACACACACACACACACACACACACACACACACACACACACACACACACACACACACACACACACACACACACACACACACACACACACACACACACACACACACACACACACACACACACACACACACACACACACACACACACCATCTGGGTTTAGAGGATATAACGTTTTTGCTATTTTTATTATATGAATTCAAAGATATTAAACACATGGCTCATGTTAAAAAGTAACAGGTTATCCATGGCATTCATATTACTGTTTCTTTGACAACCTGTAGATTCACTGTTTATTGCATAAATGCCTAAGAAATTAAATCAACTTTGAATTTTATGCACCAAATTATTTTAACAAAAAATATATTATACTGTCACTCTCAAAATCGCAATTACTTTGTCATTTCAATCAGTTTCTAAACTGCACTAAATAAAGAATGTCCATGCCCAGTTTCTGTCACTTTAATATTTAAAACATTAGATCCTCACAAAGATCAATAAGATTAGATATCATCTTATCTCAATTTGTTTTCCCCTGCATCTGTATGAGACTAGGATTTAGGATTTTATAAAGGGTAAAATACCCAAACTTAAATGAACCAGCTTAAGTGTAGTCTGCAGCCCTCCTAAGGAATGGAAAGAGATCGATAGCATGATAAAACACTTGTTATGAAATGTTCTCAGAGATTGAATATGCTGAATGGCTGTGGACTTCTACAATTTATATACCATAATATTTCCATATGATGTGTCTGTGTTTATTATATCTTACCTATTTTAAACAAATGTTTAGACTGATGAGAACAATATTTTAGACCAGGGGTGGGGAACCTTTTTCCTCTCAAGGGCCATTTCAATGTTTACAACATCCTCCGAGGGCCGTACAAATTATTGAACTCAACGTCTGCTTAAAAAAACTAAAATCACAGCCCATTCATTTGGCCTTTCTTTCATGCTGTGCAAAGAAAAAGCAACCATCCAGATATCTTTCCATGACTCGCGCATGCATGCATGCACGTGCACGGTTGTGGCATGACCACCAAAACAGAAAGATATGGACACAAGATGTGTGCAAATGTATTTAGTTTCCTATCCATGTGAACATGATTTAAGTGGGGGGGGGACCTAAACTCCTCTAGGGGGGTCCGGGGGCATGCTCCCCCTGGAAGATTTTTTTTTTAATGTTAAAGTTAAAAGCATCAATCTGGTGCACTTTGAGAGCAACATGGAGAGATCTATGGATACAGATCTCAACACCCATATGAAACAGAACTGTAAGCAGATTTATTTTTCTTTATGGATATTTTACAAATCACTCCCCTTTTAAACTGTATTCTTGTTTATTAATAACCTTTTTTTACTGTCATATAGTATTTTATACCCGTTTACTTTATTCTCTTATTTTTTTATAACTATAATGATCATATAAAGATGTGCCTTTACCTCACTGGTTGTGGAAAAAGCTTCTCCTTTCACACCAACGCAACTCCGGTTCAAGCTCCGTGCTAGAGCTTTTCAGGTTCGGAACCGGTACTTCGGTTTAGCTCCGGCTCTTTTCACACCGCTCAGAGACCGACTGGTGCTGCCGCTGCTGCGTCATGACGTCACAGTTTACGTCGCTGATTTTCTCCCCAACGGAGCTCACCTCACAACAACAACGGGCCGGGGACTGCGTTGCTTTTAATCATACGAAGCCAGATTAAATTATATAACGACTTCTCCAACCTTATACTTTTCTCCAGAGTGCCGTGGTTCATTGTTTATTAATGTGTTTCAGCGGCATTTACCGACCGCTGCAGTGCTGGCCGGCTGCTCTTCCACGAGTGTATTCTCCCGTTAGCTCCGGGTTAGCTCACACGGCTCTAAAGTATTCACTGTCTGACTGTCACACAAGCAGCTGATACATATCCCCAGTTCCCCTTAAGTGAATGTTTGTCAGTCTGAATTGACGCTGTTTGGTGTCAGTCTGAATTGACGCTGTTTGGCATCACAACGCTGTTATGAAAGTTTCTCTGGTATAACATGGGTGATGTTAGCATAGCAACCGAAGCTAAACTGACTACTTGCTAAGCCGTTTTATACAGGCACTTTTTACCGGCGTATTTTTCATTATGATTCTACTTGTGATAGTCGGACATGACAACCTGTGCAGCCCATGTATTGATTCCATCCGATAGCTGCTATAATAACAAACAAAACGTCTGCCTGCTCTCCACAATGATCAATAACAGCGAACGGATGGTCAAAGTAAGGTACAAATAAACAGAATCACACGAAGCCTGGTTAGTGTTGCCTGACTTTATAAAGCGTGTTTTTTTTTTACAAGTGTGTGGTTGCGTTCACTTTGCTCAGCACTACTGCTGGTTACAACTTTTATTTGCCGTACTCGCCTTAACTGTTATCTCAGGTTAATCTCGCCCCCCTCCGACGTAAGCGGTTCTTGCTTCTACACGGACAACTTTTTGGTGCTCGAAACGAACCGGATTCCGGAGCTTAGAGGCTGCGGTGTGAACAGGAAAACCCGGTGCTTTTCAAGCACCAGCACCGAACCGGCCCCGAAACACCGTTGGTGTGAATGGGGTATTATATTCGTTAGCAGAGCTAGCTAACCAGATGCTAATAACAACAAAGTTATTGACTGTATGATCAGTATGACAGATGAACAGATCGCCACTGGGCTTTCAACTGAAGACACAGCCACGCAAAAACTGCGGCATGTGTACGGCTCCTTATGGGTACTGCAATTTGTGAAGTCCCGGCCCGGAGCGGCGTTCTGGTGCTCTCCGTCAGAACTACACCCCTGTTATACCACGTGATGACACGTTAGGCTCGTGTTGTGTTCAAGGAACCTGACCTAACCCAGGAAAAACATGCACTCGCTTGTTTAATTATTTTGCGGTCTAGATTTCTTTAATTCTTTTCTTTTTTGCGTGTGTTTATAAATTACCTCGAGGGCCGTACCAAATGGTCTCGCGGTCCGTATACGGCCTGGGGGCCAAAAGTTCCCCACCCCTGCTTTAGACCATTTAGTAGTTAAAGGTGAGGTATGTCATTTTGGAGAAACCAGCTCGAGTGCGCTAGAATTTGAAAGTACACAACCGGAAAAAATCTGCCTCTTCCTTCAGACTTCCTTACAGAGCCCCTCCTCCAACACACACGAACGCGCACATGACCAATGAGGGCACGAGATAAGTTTGTGCACAGATGGAAGGCTGACAGGCAGGTAGGCCATCCAGTTATTTTAGCCGGGCCGGCTAAAATGATTGGTCGTGCTTTTTACAGTACTACGGCTTCCACAGATGACATTTTTTTATGTATTTATTGTCAAAGCATTTAATTTATTCATTGCTATCGGGATGTTAAGAGCATTCCATAGAATATAACAAAAAGTGTTTCTGAAGTGAATTACCCTACCCCACCTTTAAGGTTAAAAATGTTTTTGGCTTGTAACGTTTCATTAATGAACTCTCTCCAATTTTAGTAGGTACAGTATGTATTCATATCATATATACTGTATATATATAGCTTATCTGGTTGTTCCATTTCACATGTCTCCATTATGACTTATGGTGTTTATATTTTTACTTCAACTTGTAAATGAATACGTTGGTGATGATTCCACTACGTAGTTTGGCAAGTTGCCATATCCCAAAGTCTTAATAACAAGTACCGAAGCTGTCACTATATGCAACTGTTGATGAAGGGCAGAACACTGAAAACACACTATTCAGAATGAAAAGGCTAGGCCACGAGTACAATACACCACGTTTCCTGTAGTTTTTTAGATGACAGCTTTTATATATATTTTGGAAAGTCAGAATGTCTAAAGAGAAGCACAGTTGAAAGACTTCCCAGCTTATAAATGTTCATTTGAACGCACCTTGGAGAAGAGGCCAAAACAAGCCAGGGTGCTGATGATGCAGTAAGCCTCCGGGGGGCGGGCTCCTCTCCCTCCGGGCTGTGAGTGGAAGCAGAGGATATTTAGTGAACACTGGAGAATGAGAAACAGAAGATGGAAACACAGGAGAGAAACCTTCACTGGCTTACTGACCAGTAACCTCCTGCAGTATCCATTCCTCCTGCTGCCATCAATCTCCGTCAGAACGAAGGAGAACGTCTCACTGGAACACACAGAGAGCAACCATGAACAATGACCTGAAACATGGACACATGTGATCACGGTGAAAAAACGTGGGGGGGGGGGGGAGCTGTACCTGGGGTATTCTGTCAGAGGAGCCCAGTTGATGCCCTCTGGGAAACAGAAGAGAGTGATGGCCTTCAGCGTCTTCTCCTCCTCCTCCTTCTGGTATTTAGCCATCCCATCTTTCTGAAAGTACACAACCACACCTCTGTTCTTTAACACATAATATGCTTTCTTTGTTGCACTGATAGTTTTCATAGATACAAACTACTCAATATCTCCACTCTGCCTACAATATACCATAGTAACAGACCTCCTGTCGGCATGATTTATGTGAGATGAATTATGATGCTGACCACTGTGAAAACTATGTGGGCTGAACAATCATGAACCACAGGTCAAAATGACAACATTTTGCATGAGTAGAAGCAAAGCACACATTCAAATAAAGTCTACGGAGATAAGTGATTGATTTTTATTAGATATTGTTTCTGAAAATGTTGTTTTTATTTTATGAAACTCTGTACTATATCATATTACATTTAAGAATAGTATGTTAAAGGTAGGGTAGGTAAGTTTGAGAAACCGGCTTGAGATCGCTAGAATTTGAAAATACACAACCGGAGAAAATCTGCCACTTCCTTACAGAGCCCCTCCTCCAACACACACGAACGTGCACATGACCAATGAGGGCACGAGATAAGTTTGTGCACAGATGGAAGGCTGACAGGCAGGTAGGCCATCCAGTTACTTTAGCCGGGCCGGCTAAAATGATTGGTCGTGCTTTTTACAGTACTACGGCTTCCACAGATGACTTTTTTGTATGGATTTTTTGTCAAAGCACTTAAGATATTCATTGCTATCGGGATGTTAAGAGCATTCCATGGAATATAACAAAAAGTGTATCTCGAGCCGGTTTCTCAAACTTACCTACCCTACCTTTCATTTGGAACCTTTTAAAAATCAATATTTTAAACCATGTCCTTTGCAGGGGACACAAGGACATTTTCCATCTCATTTTCAACCATCTTACATACTTGAGAGAACTGAGTAAATACTTAACTCATCAGATGATAATTACATTGAAATGAAAATGCTTTACTTGTATCATCATAAACTCATCAGGCCTCTGTGTTCCACCCTCAGACTGACCTTGGGGAACTGGTAGGTGATCTGAGGTTCGTAGCTGCTGCCGTCTTTGGTCTTCTTGAGGCTGACCACCACCAGGTACTCGAAGAAGTACTGCCCACTGACGTAGCGGTGCTGCCGGGACGAGTTTTCAGCCACCTGGCCCGGCAGCTCTGGAGGCTCGGAGTCTTTGAATCCTGCACAGAATGAAGAAAGACATTGTGCTTCAGCATGCAGGGTACCACTGGGATCCAGATGGAGATTAGAAAGGTTATGATTGACGGAAATGAACAAAAAAAAACTAAAAACAAGACAATAAAGAACTATAGTTTATCTTCAATGAAGGGGAGAAACACTACTCTTCCACTTGTTCAATATCAAAATAAATGGTCCTTCATTTTTGGAATTTGATTTCTGTAAAGCCATGAAAGCAGTGTTATCTATCCCTTTAAATGATCTCTCCAACTTAAGTCATAACATCCAACATGTTGGTCTAAATCAGGGGTCGGCAACCCGCGGCTCTCGAGCCACATGCGGCTCTTTAAGCCCTCTGCTCTGGCTCCCTTGAGCTTAGACAAAAATAAGAAGGAAATACAATTAAAATATTTGTAGGACTATTTATATTTTGTTGCACGGTTGAAAATGTTTCGTATCTTGTATTTTGAGGTGATACTGTGAGACAAAAACATTTAAAAAATGGTTTTAATTAGGTCAACTAAAATATGCGTCACATCCTGCTACGTTCCCGCACCAGCGCCTTTTCTTACAGGCGAATAACCTGACCCCCGGCTCGATGAGCGAACGATGGATAAATCAAAGAAACGAAAAGTATGGGAGGAACACAGAGGGTTTAATTCTGCGTGGTTAGAGTTATCTGCTTTCACAGCAAACGATGCTGGCTTACCGGTATGTTTGATATGTGGAGAGAAGTTATCAAAGGTGCTGCAGCCTTTACGTATTGGAGGGAAAACACGGAAGAGGAAGACAGATGATGACCTTCAGTCATAATTCAATCACCTAACTCTCTTTAGGGTGCAGCTATATGTTTGATTTATTTCAAAGTGGGCCCATTTTAATTATATTCATTTTCTTCAAATGTGCAGAGGACTCCCAAAGTGCTGTGTTGATTTATTTTAAAGTAGGCCTGTGTATTTTTTTTAATTCTCCTTATAAGAGTTCTTTGTTTATTATTAGAGGTAAACAGTTTTCTATAATGTAATAAATAATAAATGCAAAAAAACTGTAGTTTGTGTCTATGATGTAACAATATATACAACTTCATAAGCTATCAAGCTATCAAATATGTTTTGCGGCTCCAGACAAAAAAAACGTGTGGAAAAGGGGGCAAAATGGCTCTTTTGGTCAAAAAGGTTGCAGCCCCCTGAGCTAAATGATAACTAAGGCAAACAATTCAAATGAAAAAAAGAGCATAAACTGTTTGATTTTACAAACGTCTAACTGCCATAACTGTCAACCAGTCTGTATGGATGCTCATAGAAAGTGCTTAGGAAGTTTAATATAACCATGTGGTTGTTAGAATGAAATTAATACTATAATGAGGTAATATTTTGAAAGCCTTTAAGGAGCCATAGGCTGATTTATATATATCCACTATGCTGAATGTTGGATAAAGTGATATTATATGTATCCTCTCTGTAGATGGAACCTCTCCTTCTGTTAATAAAGTTGTTTACAGAGTAAATGTTTGCCTCCAGGCCCAGACGTCTCTCCTGCTTTGTGCAGTCTCCTTCACTGCCGGCCTGTTCACGTGTTCGCTGCTGCATTCCTCTCTTTTTGTCTAAAATAAAAGCACAGCAGCGGGGTTTTTCTCTCAGGCTGGCAGCTTTGTGTGTGTGTGAGGCCTGCTGCTGCCACTCCCCCCACACTCACAGGACATGCACAAATACTCAGTTGGCTGGTGTTTAATGATGGTCAGAAGGCATGGTTTGCCTCCAGTTGAAAAACCTGTTCCTCCAAATTGAGTGTTGTGTGGTAGCTAATACTCAGCTGAGGAAAAGAATAATATGGCAAAAACTATACAGCAGCAACCATTGACTTTTGCTAACGCTGCTGTTTTAACCACTCCCTTGTTGATAGTTAATCTGCAATGCGTGCTGTAAACAACTTGTGCTTAACTGCCACTCAACGTTAAGGTGCTTCCAGGGAGAGAACATGTTGGAGGCAGGGGGCCGGCAGAGGAACTGAACAGGGGTCTGCAAGAGGGAGGCTGTTCCACCTGAAGTAGACCTATCTCGTCTTTGTTTTGTGATGGGAGGTTTTGCTGGAATGAAAGCCTGTTCAGCTGTGTCCACTCTGTTCTTCAGAACCCTGAGATGACATACACACAGACATACTATGGTCCTCAGCAGCAGGATTTAAAATAATTGCTAAAGTCCGCCAAAATAAAATGGGTTTTATCCACTGCAGTCGCAAACTTTGGAGCACCCTACGAGGGAATATTAGAGAGGCAATCTCATGATGCATAAAGGTTTTCACTTCCAACTCAACTGGTGGGGACGGGGAGTTATTATACCCTGCAAGAGGAATCTGTATCGTTCCTGACTCAAACAGCTTCCCTACATAATCATGTCATTGATATATACTTTGTATATAGGTGATTAAAGTTATTTTGAGATAAGCCTAAAAATGTACAATTTTAAGCATGTCCGATCCTTTTAACACAAGTTTTTGTACTGTCCAAAAGTAGGTGTTTAGGAGGGCAATGCTTAATCAATGAACGCTGATTAAGATATGTACAGTGTTGTAAAATAATCTCTACAGTTACATCTACAGTGTGATCCCTCAGCCAATAGCAGACCCCGGAGGATATCAACACTTCTTGCTGTGTCTAAAATAACTCCTTATTTTATTTGTGGAAAACCATATTTACTGACCAACATTTGATTTTGTTTTGCTCTGTGGTAATTATCCCATTTGTGTAGACAAATGAATTTCACATTCATTAGAGGCAGAGATTGCCTTCATGCAGTCAGTGATGATGCAAAGATTCATTCTGAGGTCATCTGAATTCTGGTCACTGTTAAACACCGAGTGTCTGTTCTACAGGAAATAACTTCAGACACAGCCCAGTCTTTAATAAGACAACATAAAGAGTCATCTGTAACCTAATCTGAGTATCAATATATAACGTTATGTAACCCGATTACTTTACGTTGCTTTTGGATTACCTCAATGTCTGAATAATGTAACCTTAGGAAAGAAGAAACTAAGACATTAGTTTGAAAAATGTGCCCTCTGCTGAGAGATTTTATTCAACCTGCCTTTCATTAAGCATATTCAGTTACGTTTTTTTGTCTGATTACGTAATCCCATTTCATGTAGTGAGTTATTCCCCAAGCCTGCAAGTACAATCTTATTATGAAGAACAGCTGTATATTACATCAAGGCAAACACAATTAGTGCAGGAGCATATTGAGTCAGTCAATACAAAACGTCTCTATGGGAAATATATTTCCAGATGTCACCTACTCGAAGAGAGGAGAGGAAATTGTGCTGTGATTGGTCTCCGAGTAAAGCTTCTCCACAGCCTACTTCCTGTTCTGATCGTTTCTGCTATCATTAAGACTCTATATTTATAGCAGTGGTGGAATGTAACTAAGTACATTTACACAAGTACTGAACTTGAGTACAATGTTGGTACTTGTACTTGCAAAGTAACTTTTACTCCTCTACTTTTATTTTTCAGCAGCTACTTTGCATATGAAAATATCAACACAAGATGGAATTAAACTAATAAATGATGATGTATTATTATAGGTTAAGCTACCCAGTAGTAAATCAAGTCATTCAAATGAGCTTCACCAGATGCAACATTAAAGTGGTGAAAACATGAATCCATCAATAACTCAAATACAATAGTTTAAAAAAGATGACTCTGAAATTAGCAAAACTGCATAGTGATTACTTTTACTTGACGAGCTATAAATATATTTCGATGGTGATACTTTTACTTGAGAGACTTTGAATGCAGGACTTTTGAACACTGTGGTATTGCTATTCTTACTCAAGTAACATATCTTCCTCCACCTCTGGCTGTTTGTATCCGTCATGAAACACGCTGTTTACAAAAAGTTCCGTACAAAAATGTCCTAGTAAACTAAGATACACATTCAATATTGTCATACAGATGTTAACATTTGAAGGTTACGTTGTATATTTATGTTTTTATTTAGGATGATATATAGCTGTGTCCAGTCTAAAAAACACGTTCATTTGATTGAGAAGATTTGTATATAGACAGCTTGTCTCTGAGTCTGCCTCAAAGTATGCACAGTAAGAACCTGCCTGGCCGGCCAACAGCACGTTGGTTTGTTTACATGTGTGATGCTGTGGATAGTTCTATATCGTATAGGCTTCGCTGCGCCTAGACTCATAGAACATGTAGTGTGTGTTTGTGCTAGAGAAGTAGCTGCAAAACTAAATAAAATAGTTCATGTCTGAGAGTTTCAAAATATCTAGAGTAGAATGTTTATTAGTTTTTATTATTAGACGGCTTAGTTGAATACTTGATTCTGCCGTCATATGAATCCACAGAAAGAAGTCCGACCAGTGGCAGTGTTTAAAGACTGGTTCATGGAAAAGAAAAACAGAAAACCTTGATCCGTGCTGCCGTCATTTTAAGTTACGTTGCTGTCGCCACATTCACATTCGTTGATACGCAGTGGATCGCACTATTCTTTTCACAATCATTCTTTATAAATTAAGTCATTTTAAACCAATTTTCTGAGGCAAGACGTTGGTTTATTTAGTATGTAGGATCATGCTCACCCTGTCTGTGTTGTTTTTTCATTAATGTCCGCCGTGCTGCACATTAACCCTTACTTAACTAACACTACCTCTGGATGATAGAGACTCCAGCAGTTGACAGTTTCTCTGTGTACTCTTATCTACCACTGTATTTGTGGATCATAGTGGGTCAGCGAAAATGTAAAACCAGAAGCTATTTTACAAAGTGTTTTACGTGTTGTTATCGCCTTTATTCCTGCAGGGAGAGCTGAGCGTTTGGCACACCGGCCTCCACCTGACAGCTGACTTTGGGGATGTGAAACAGAGTCTGCAGGACCACACTGTGGGTAAGTTCTGCAAATGCATTTTCTATAGTAACACAGCTGGGATCACTTTTCTGTGGGCGGATCTATTTCATAAGTCTGGCATCAACAGTAAGTGGAGTTAAGTCTAATTTAATATAAGTTTGATACTGAGAATAATAACTTGGGAGTGGGGGTGCGCCTCGCTCGTTGGTAATACAATCTGAAGAAACCTCCTTTGTTTGTAGCACAGGTGCATTCTTTCCATTTAGTTATTCACTGACAACAAAAACAAACTGTAAGCGACTCCAAAAACCATTGCCCTTCCGGTGTGACAACAATTCAGATTTTCTGACCTATATACCTGATCCTAGGATATTCCCACAGTGACACCCAATATGCACACAGAGAATAACACAGTGAGCGCAGGAACACTGACAGTTTCCTGACAGGTATCATCCTGTTGTTAGTGCGTCTGCCTCCATGCTTCCTACTCTGTACTGTGGTGCGAATGACTACGGTTAACCATCAAAATCAAACAGCTTGTGGCACGATAAAGGGAATTGAGGAGCTCAATTAAAAATGCCCCAGCAGTTCTCTGATCACAGCTACTGTCTCTTCAGTATATGCTAGACACTCCAGTTTCTGTTCTGACTTGGCACTAAGGTAACAGTGAAGAAGAAGTACAGGGGATTCTTTTGTAATGTAACACTCACCCTCTCTTTTGTGTCTGCGGAAGGACGACCACATGGCACTTAACCTCTTGAGGGCCCCCGGTCGTCCAGCGTCATCTTCACCTGACGGGATGGCAGCTGCAGAAAGAGAAGCAGAAGCTGCTCAATAATAACATTAGAACATCATTCACTTCCTCTGAGCGTTTAAAGGCCAAGCCTCGTAATATTAATGTTTTTATTTCTGCTCAGGTTGGAGTAAAGCAACCTGAGTTCAAATGATGCAGCCAGCATCTTGATCAAACATGGAGTAGTGGATTTTGCTGCACTAATAAGAATTTCCGATGTTTATATTGGTCATCAGACTCGAACAGGTGCTCTCCTCTTCAAGTCGTTAAGACTTATGAGACGTAAAATAGCAAATACTATAATGAACCCTTTATTTGACTATCCAATGCAACATGTTTAAAGAAAATATACTCACAGTCAAAAGAAAATAGAATGATTGAGAATGGAAATACTGTTACCCCAACTGCTGCACCTATTGTTTCTCAGAAACATCAATGATGATATTACCTTTGGGCTGCTCACCCAGGATATAAAGAATAACACATTTTATCACGTAACTTAACAGATCTTCCACAGACTACCTCTGACATTTAAAAACCATGCTTTCTAAATACTGTACATGCATCACTTAACAAAATAATAATGTAATGTTCTCTTGGTTTCAACTTGTACTTTCAACCAAAGAGGGGTGTAACACACATGTAGGGTTTAGGAAGAGACAGCTGATAAATCCAGCACTCCTCCTCTCTGTAATGTGAGTTTGTTTTCCATCACAAATGAAGAGAATCAATGAACAAGATGTATAAGGTGCAACATAACATTGAACAACTTCCTACGTTAAAATAAGAGTTTATTTATCTGCTAAAGCCCCTCTTACCTGTGGGGTTCCCCAAGGCTCTATCCTGGGCCCCATCCTCTTTTTACTGTACATACTGCCCCTAGGTTCAATTCTCCCTAAACACAATATTCCCTTCCACTGCTACGCTGACGATGTACAGATCTATCTGCCTCTCAAAGCAAATGTCAAACACTCACTACAGCAGTTGATGGACTGCTTGATAGAGATAAAATCCTGGCTGAGCAAAAACGTCCTCACCCTCAACGAGAGTAAGACTGAGGTCATCTTTTTTGGACCGCAACCTCCAGCCTCTAAATTCGACAAGCAGGTCAGCAGCGTAGTCAAATCCTGCTTTTTTAAAATAAGACTATTGGCCAAAACCAAGTCGTATTTATCTTTTAAAGACCTAGAAAGGGTTATTAATGCCTTTGTTACCTCGAGACTGGACTATTGTAACGCTCTGTATGTGGGTATGGACCAGGCCTCAATTAGACGTCTGCAGCTAGTCCAAAACGCAGCTGCACATCTTCTGACTGGCCACAAAAAGCGTGACCACATCACTCCAATTCTGGCCTCACTACACTGGCTTCCAGTTCGGTTCAGAATTGATTTAAAAATCCTTTTATTTGTTTTTAAAGCACTAAATGGGCTGGCTCCGGCCTATATAGCCGAACTCCTCCATCGCTACACCCCAGCCAGAGCTTTAAGGTCTGCTGACCAGCTGCTGCTGGTAGTGCCCAAGACCAGGCTAAAAACCCGAGGGCACCGAGCCTTCGCAGCAGCTGGCCCTAGGCTCTGGAACACTCTGCCCCTCCATGTGAGGTCGGCCCAGACCCTAGGGGTTTTTAAATCTACTCTTAAAACACACTTCTTCTCTCTGGCCTTCTAGTCAGAGCGGAGTATGACACCTGACATTTCCCTGTGTTTTTGCTTTTTATATTTCTGTTGTAAATTATTGTCTTTTATTGTGATTGTAGTAAAGTGTTTTTATTACATGTACAGCACTTTGGCTCGACCAAAAATTGCTTTTAAATGTGCTATATAAATAAAACTTGATTTGATTTGACATGATATTTATGATTTTCCTAGTACCTAAAGTTGGATTTTATTATCTGATTTGTACTAGTGACATATAGGTGCCATGGAAAACCCTTCTTAACAAGAGTATTAATAGGTGTATGTTTTTCTTCACTTTAATAAAAGAGGCCCTTTTTTGCTTGTTGTGGTTTTCCCTCTCCTGTAGTGTGTTCTAAAGGTTTTCGTGCATGTAAATGGTCTGCAAAGGCTGAAATCCCTGTGTTCCCTCCAGAGAGTTTCTCTCCCGTTGTGACTCTCAGGCATTTTTCCACGTGTAAGATTTTATTAATATTTCATAGGTTCATTATTACAGCTTTATTTGATATTATATATGTAGAACAACGTAACATATTATTATATTATAATAACTTTCTTCTCAGCTCTTGAAACTGAAACCATTTTGTGAGAAAACTTTTATAAATAATATTCATCATCATCATTTATCATAAACGTGCAACGATTAGTCGACTAACAATATTTTTGCCTGAATTGACAACTATTGGTCGACTAACAAATCTTTAGTCGAGGGCAGCACTAGTGACTTTACAGTGCAACACTACAGTAACTTCACTTTCTACTACTATGCTCCGTAAAAGAAAATGTCCTATCAATTTGGTTTATTACATGTATAAATATATGTATTATGTATATGTACTACAGCAACCCTCATCAACAACGCAGGTCTTCCCTAATAATCCTCTGTGGATACTGATACTACATTATTACTATTATTACAGTGCTGAATCATTTGTTTACTTGAGACTCTGAGGAAAGAATGTTCATACTGCTGCATTCAGGAGCTGTGGGAAAAAACTGCTTCGTAAAAGACAAATTCTGTCAAGCTTGTTTTTCAGATTTTAAATATTCAGCATTAGAAAAAAAGCGTTTAAATACTCGAAAAGTGCAATTCATGTTGCGCATCAGTGTATTTGAATAACATATAATATGTTTTTATATAATTATCTTTATTATTATTATTATATATGCTATATAATGTATATTATATATTTAATAAACTATTTGAAGAACTTTTTATCTCAACTTTGTAAACTTTGAATTTTTTTAAACATATCGACAGACCTGTATTCTTCTATTCATTTTAGCCCATAGCCAACGATTGTCGTATCGTGGAAAAATTATACTGTGTCAATTGTACTTTCATATTAAATAAAGTACGTAAGTATTAAGTTATAGGATCTTATAGGATTTCCATGAGCGTGTACGGAGAGATGGAGGAGGAAGACGTGCAACACATCTCCCCCGCCAGAATGGAACAGTCCACTAGCTGTTAGCTTAGCATAAACACTGCAAATGGAGTGTGTCTCTGTCCAAAGGTAACAAAATACACCTACCAACACCTCTAAAGCTCACTAAATAAAACAATATATCTAATTTGTTAAATATAAACAAACAAATTAAAAATTGGCTTTAGAGGGGGGCGTGTCCTGGACTGTTTCTTGGCACCAGGCAACCTCATGGTGACAACAAGACTTGGGGGAAATGACTGGTCTTCTGAGAAAGCAAATTTGGGTATTTCCCACAATCTATTGGACTATTCTTTTAAGTCTTCCCGTCTGAAATTAATTAATTTCCTCTTCATCTGTTTGAACTAGACATTTTCGCTAAAGACCCAATGTTTGCAAAAAACGCACCTTGCTGTTGGATATTTTTAAATACACTTTTGAAAGGTTTTGGAAGTCTTTATTGAGGTCTTTATTTTGTTACGAGGGCAGCTCCATTTTCACAAAGCTCGTCAAATCTAAAAGTCATTTGGGCAAGTGTGCAAACATTGCATTCCTACTTTGTAGAACAGAATGTAACAAATAAAGAGAAAGATATACATTTACCAAATTGTTTCTTAGCATTATAAGAATAAATACTTAATATAAGAATAAAATATTTGGTAAAACAATTGTAAATCTTTTAAATGCAGCAACAAAATGAAAAAAGAAGAAACATTCCAATACTAACAGAGAATTGAGTTAAACAGATTGGCCCGTTTTTACAAACACAAGATGCAGATATTTGAGTCAGTATCAGCCTGATCCGGACACACACAGTTCAGGGTAAATATGGGTTGAAGGTGTGTCCTCATCATGGACAATATTAGATCCTGTTGAAAGTGTGGAACTGTGTTAGTAAAGGGAAGGTCGCCACACAGACACTGGAGCTCTGATCACAACTGAATCACAAACTGCATCTGTGTTAGTGTGTTTGTCACTTCAATGTGTGGTTCGCTGTCAGACATTTTGTCACATTTATTATCTACTTCATCTGTGTGTTTTAGTTAACAGACTGAGCAGATACTGTTCAGTACATGAAGAATATGTTGAACTTAATGCATCCAAGATGACATACAACTGGAGTAGACAATAAACAGACATTTCCCAGGTTTCACTTTCAGTCTGGCTCTGCTCCCTGGGTCCTGATAACCTTTTACTGAAGTTAAAGTCTGCCATGTGAATCCTCTGTACAAGTACCAGGTGTTTGACCTGTGTCAATAGCAATGGCAGTGTTTCTCCACCCAGCAATTTGCAGTTGCACAACATTTGCAGTTGCACAACATTTGCACTGAAACTGTCCAGTCAACTTCCAAATAACATATGCAACTTTATTAGATTGTAGAGTCATGTTTTACTCTTTTACTCGTTTCTGTTCAGACTCCATGCTACTGCCTAGCTGTGCTACTGCAGCTCACCTGCGATGGGGGTGTAAATACAAGTTGTTTAAAAAGCCTTGCATGCCCTGAGGCTTGTGAACATGTTACAACACCATGCTTTCAATTCTAAAAGAAAAGGGATGGCGCAGTCACCAAGGACTAACTAAAACTGCTTCAATCCTGTTCATTTTCACTCTGAAAACCTGCAGATTTCAAATGTCATTGTATATGTTTATGTATATGTCCACGTATATCTAAAAATAGCAGTTCTTGGCTTTTAAATCTTTCAACAGTGATCATTGTCTGTGTCAGCACAGCAGCACATTCCTGGCTCAGCCTGCCATGAAGAGGCTCACATGCTCTGCTGTGAAAGCTCTTCCACCTCCAATATGAAAGGCGGCTTGGTGTTTCTGAGTGTTCCAAAATGACAAAGAAGCAAAACACATATTTTAAGTTATTAAACCACTAATTATAAATGGATTTATAGATAATAATATA